GGACAGCCTGAGTTGCGGCTCCTTCCTGGGCTTGGGGCTCCCAGCCAGAGGCCGGCACTTGGGGCTTTAGGTCCTGCTAAGGACAAGGACAATTCCCGGGCTGGGCCTTCTGCATCCTTCCGGAACGCCAGCTTGTCTGCCTCTCCCTGGCCCAGACCCGTCAGGGGGCCCAGACCTTCCGTGGCCATCCGTCAGGGGGCCCAGACCTTTGCGGCCATTCGTCAGGGGGTGCAGGGCCATGGGGTGAGCCCCAGGGCCCCCGGTCCTGCTGGGCCCATGCTTGGGGGCTCATGTTGGGGTCTGCAGCGGGTGAGGGCAGCGGGTGCAGCCGAGAGGGGAACTGTCCTCCTGCAGAGCCCCCCAGGGGACTGGGCCTGGAGGTCAGTGTGTGGAGACCAGGGTGGCATCAGCCTGTCTCGTTTGGGGGCTTGATGCCGGGCACTCAGCCGTGACCAGAGGGGCAGTGGGAGTCCAGCAGTGCTGGGCCTGTGGCACGCACTCCTGGCTCTAGGCGGGGCCCAACCGGATCGGGTTCAGAAGGGGCGACACCCCCAGACTCAGGGCGCTGGTGAGAGAGTGACCCCCCCGCCCAGCACCATCCAGAAGACCCCAGGCTCAGGAGCTGCTTTCCACAGGGGCGATCAGTGCCCCCAGGAGGCTAGTCTGAGGTCAGGGCCTGGTGTCCATGGCTCCCTGATGCTCGGGCGGTCTCCGTCCTCTACCTGCCAGGGGCACCCCCGTTCTCTGCCCTGTTTTCAGCCCTGCCTGAGCCTGGCTGGGAATGCCCGCCCCCCCCCCATGGCTCCTTTGGGAAAATGTGGCTCCGAGTGTGGTTCCCAGAGGGCCCCAGTCTGCGCAGCACCGGGCACGTCCCGGCCACTGCCCGCCTGCTGCCCGTCCACCCACCTCCAGGGACCTCCGGAAGCTGGACAGAATTGAGGCCTTAAGCTGATTGATTCCAACATCCTCTGCACACGCAGATCTCTCTCTCGGTCTCCATTTTATCCACTTAAAACGGACACGGTGTGTGCACGTGGGTATATTGTTGTTGGCGTCCGTATGTCCTGCGACGTCTCTTCTAAAGGACTTCACGTCTCCGCTGCTTCTCCGATGCTGTTGTGAAAGTCTGTGCGCGGTGGGAAGTGGGACACACGGGGTTTTCTCACGGGAGTGTCTGACCTTTGTCTGCGGGTGCCGAGTCATGAACGTGCCACTAACCTGTGTCCCCGGACACGCCCTGCCCCGCCGGTCTCAGATTGTTATGCCGGCCCAATCCTAGACGTATCCGGGTTGTCACTAACGGGTGTACTGCAGAGCAAGGACGGTCTCGCCTGAGCCCATGTACCCTGCGGGGTTGGCATATCCAGCCCGCACTGGAAGGGTTCCGTGATGGAACCCCCTCGCACGTGGTCAGCTGCCGTCCCGTGCCGTGTCCTCAGCCGGCTGGAAGGCAGCCCCGCAGCACATGAGTGGACCGTGGCCCATGAAACGGCCGTCCCGTCTGAGTCAGCGGCACCTCCCTCCCGCCCCTCCGGCAGCGTGCCCCGCTGGTTGTCCCTGCGACAGAGGGTGCTGTGCCCGGGCAGCCCGTGTCCCTCTTCTCCTAGACCCAGAGTGCAGCTGGCCAGGGCTCTGCAGACAGGCCCTGTCCCCCAGCTGCCAACTAACAGCGAGGGCAGGTGGCCATCGCAGTGCCACTCTGTGCCCGCCCGCAGTGGCCCCCGGAGGCTCCAGGCCTGCCCCGCCACGGTGTGCATCTAGGATCTGCCCGGGCTGGCTCCTGGTGCCACTGATGCCGCACCTGAGGTCTCCATGGCAACAGACACCCTGGCAACCTCAGCTGCAAGGGAAATCCCGCCTGAGCCAAGCCTGCTTGGAACAGCCTTCCCACGCCTGGGTCCTTCCCGTCTGCAGTTGGGCTGGGGCCGGCGGGCCCTGGTGACCGGCCCCTGCTGCCGGCTCGCCTGAGAGCGGTGACCAGCCACTGTCTGGGCTCGCAGGTGACCGGTGACCTTGATTGGAGGGTGACCCGATGGTGGCTTCCTCCGTCTCCCTTCATGAGCTAACGTGGCTCCACTTTAGTCCTCCAGGAGTCCACGGGGCCACCAGCTCCCCATACACACACACACACACACACACACACACACACACACACACACACACACAGCCTGTTCGCAGATGCTCATGAAGAGGCCCAGAGAGCTGGCGTGCCCGCCCAGCTCAGAGCTGGGTGGCACCGGGCTGGTCTTCCTGGACAGCAGGAAGGAAGCTGGCCTCATGCACACTCCCCAGGGTTCCGTCCCCGGCACTGCACACAGTCACCCGAGAGCCCCCCAGGAGTGAGCCTCGAGCACTGCTAGGTGTGACCTAAAACCCAAAAACGGGGGTAGGGGGAGAACTGAGATGGGCCCCCAGGGGGGTCTGCCTGGCAGGTGGCGACGTAAGCTGTTTTCCTGGGAATCCGGAGAGGGGGGTGGGTTTGATGCCTGGCTGACCCAGCCCAGCCTGTGGGCGGCACCGTCTCCCCCACGGCCCCCAGAAGGATTCTTCCTACCCCTGCAAAGCTCAGCAAGACTTGTCCTGGTGTCTTCTGTTTTCCAAACTGCCGGGGACCCAGAAACAAACTCTGTACCCACACAGAAGGTGACCTTTGATTTTTATTTAAAAATTAATAAAGAACTTAGTGACAAGGATAGTGATTTCGTCTCTATAGGTAATGCCGTGTCTGCGTCTACAGAGGGGGGCACACGGGGCTTCCGCCTTGGTCTTGTAGCAAAGTTGTTAGAGAAATCTAAGAGAAGACTCCTCGCGGTAGGAGACACAGACCACAATGGAGCTGGGAAATGGTCGTGAGAACAGTCGTTCCTGCTCGGAAGAGTTTTACATCGAAACGGGGGTTGGTTGGTCTCTGTCGAGAGTCTTCCTCTGGAACGTGGACGTTTCTGTCTCTTTGTCCGGCCAGACTGCTTTCTGACGGCAGCGTGGCGATTCACTAGGGAACGTCTTTTGGCTGAGACGGATCACTGAGTCCAGGGCTGCTGTCGCAACCTTCCTTGGGTTCCCCGAGTTGCACGGGCTTCTCAGAACTCGGGGAGAGTTCGCTGAGGCAGACATTTTATGACTTCAGTTAAAAACTGTATAAAAGACACAAAACATGTGTATTGAACCCCGAGTCTGCACAAAACTCCCGCTCTGCCGTCCTGGGTGAGGTCACTCACTGCTCGAGCCCTGACGGCTGGTCTCAGGAGAGCGTCCCCTCAGTGGAGGCGGGCGTTTGCGTCTCTGTCCAGGAACGCTGTGCCCAGCTTGAGCTCACCCCCGAACCATGGCACCTTCTGTTATTTTCATTCTTATTCCACGTCCACGTCTGATTGCTAATCATTAGGTCCTTGTGGAATCAAAACACTGAGAACTAAAATAGATTCGCTCTTGAGGTGGGACAGAGTGGGGGGCCGAGAAACACCTCGATCTGAACAGACGCCTTCCCCCAGGGGCGAGTCCCGTGTCTCCGGCATCTGATCATCGAGGCAAGCGGCTGGGTCGGGGTCAGAGAGGAAACGGCAGGGCGGGTGTGGACGGGACGCAGAAGCGCGAAGACCACGTGTTGGTTCCGTGTTGACACACTGTTCGACGTGTAAGTTGTACCCCAAAGGGCAGAAATGAAGGTCCCTACTTCCGACCGAGAAAGCAAACGAGAAACGGACAGTTCATCTGGGAGCGAGGTGCTGGGGTTTCTATCAAAAGAGACTCGGAAAGGAATGAGTGAAAAAATAAAGGAACTCAGATTTATATTGCAATGTGTAATCAAAAGAGAACTTGGGTGTCACTGGTGTTGTTTTTTTTTTGTTTCGTTTTTCTGTTTTTTTTTTTTTTTTTTTTCAAAAAAAATACCTAAAAACGTCTGATTCACAGCTTTCCCCTCGGTAGGTCACTTAGTACAACTCACTGATAGGGTTACATGGAGGTGACGTTGGGTTTGTCGGTAGCAGCTAAACTAAGCACGCCGTGGCCTGGCAGCTTGTGTGGGCGTTCGGAAGCCGAGCGCCGTAGACCAACGGCAGCCGTCCCGTGGTCGGCGGTGGCGGTGGAACACGTCAGAGATTGACCCCCTGGGATCACCGGCCCATGGCAGGCTGCATCCAGGACTTCCTGTTGCCTGGGGATGCCCTTGCCAGGCCTCTGTGCTTCCCGATGCTTGTCCGGAGGGTGACGGGGTCCGGAGAGGACGGAAGGAGATCTAAGGAAACTGCCTGTCCACTCTCCCAGGCCCCACGGATGGCCCGGCTCGGGGTGGGGCTGCAGGCCACTGGCCACTCGGAAACACGCTGCGGGGCTGGAGTGGGTGGGGGCCAGGGGGTGAGGTGTGGGCGGGCCGTGGCGCCGTGGCCTGGCCACGTGGCTTAGCACTGCTGCACTCGAAGGCAAGTACATACAACTGTCATGTTTTGAGAGATTCATCATGGTCTCCGGCCACTGGGAAAAATTGTGCTTTCTCCGGAATTGGATGTGCTGAAAACCGCACTCACGTCCCCGCTCATTTGCAAACTGAAACTTAGAAAGGAAGTCCCTTGCAAACGTAAGGCTTGCTTTTTTGTTGTTGTTTTTTTTTTTTCTTCTGGTTACAAAATAAATAAATAAATAAAGAATCAAGGCTGGAAAAGAATGAGGAATTCCCGCCATGTCCACCCACCCACCGCCTGTTTTCTGGAGCCAACGGGCTCACCGGCGGGACACGGGGCCCGGACGTCAGTGGAGCATCTCCGACTGCGGACGTCCGTTCCCGTGGGGGGGGGGGGAGTGTCTGTGGACGGCGCGGAACAGCCGGCAGGGCGCCCCCCACCCCCACCCCCTTCCCGGCCCTCGCTCCTGTTCCCGCTCGCTAGTACGAAGGCCTTTTTGGTAGGGGGCCGTGGGACAGCCAGTTCGCCCCATCCTCCTGGGCGAGGAGGAGGGTCTCCTTCGCTCCGTGGGCGTCGCGACCAGCTCAAGGCTCCGGAACCCCCCCGAGCTTCAGAGGAACCAGAGTTTCCATCTTCCGTGCTTTTTGGATTCCGTTTTGGATTTTTGCTTGGGAGTCGCGGAGTAAGACTCCGGCGAGTAAGGCAAAGGTGCGACCTGAGTTTCCTCAAAGGGATGCAGCTTCCTCAGAACCGGCTGCAGCTTGTCCTCTTGCTGCTTGAAATCCAGTTCCACGCTGGAAAGCGGAGAGAGGGCGGGAGTTAGTGCTCGGCCCTCGTCCAGGAGGAGCCCCGCCCCGCCCCGCCCCACCCTCACTCCGCGTGGCGTGTGACGGGACCCGCGGCGGGCTCGGGCAGTTCTTATTCTTGAAAGGCCGGAGTGGGTCTGAGCTGTGTGTGCTACTGAACTCTGTCAGAGGGCCCGTTCCGTGCAGAGCCCCTCGGAGGGGCTGGGAGTGGGCATCCTGGACCAGTGGGCAGAATGTTTATGGAAATGAGAAATGCACCAGGTGGCATTTCTGACCAGACATCGGGCTATGCGTGGGGCAGGAAGGGGCCAGACGAGAGAGAGAGAGAGAGAGAGAGAGAGAGAGTGTGTGTGTGTGTGTGTGTGTGTGCGCGTGTGTGCATATGTGTCTATGCACGTGTATGTGTCTGTGAGTGTGCTTGTGTGAGTGCGTATGCGCATGTGTGTGAGTGTGCATGGGTGGATGTGTGCGGGTACATGTGTGTATGTGTGTGTGCGTGTAGGCGAGTGCATGTGTGTGCGAGTGTGTGTATATGTGAGTGTATGTGTGTGAACGTAGAGGCAAGTGAGTGGTGTGTGCGTGTGTGTGCATATGTGAGTGTGTGGTGTGTGCGAGTGTGTGTGTATGTGTGAGTACGTGTGTGGTGTGTGTGTGTGGTGTTGCATGTGTACGTGTGTGAGCGTGTATGCCGCATGTGTGTGAGTGTGCATGGGTTCATGTGTGTGGGTGCACGTGTGTATGTGTGTGCGTGCGTGTGTGTATGTGAGTGCATGTGTGTGAATCATAGACGAGTGGTGTGTGCGTGTGTGTGCGCCTATGTGAGTGTGGTGTGTGCAAGTGTGCGAGTGTGTGTGTGTGAGTATGAGTGTGTGTTGTTGCATGTGTGCGTGTGTGTGTATGTGTACATGTGCGTGTGTGGTGTGTGGTGCGTGTGGGGACCGTGTCCAGAGCCTGCAGGAAGCTCCCTTCCTCGCAGCGTCTCTGAGTCCGAGAAAGCCAAGCAGTTGTGCGTGTCTTGTGTTGTGCTGCATCTTCTTACTGGGTAGAGATCGATGCCCAGAGTGGCATCGGCCAGGGCTGCCCTGGCCAGCAGTGATGCTGTGGCCCAGCCGGGCCGTGTCCAGGCGACATTGGGGGTGTCCTGCAGGTGTGGTGCCCTGTGGCCGCCACATGCCCGGGCTCGGGTGTCGGTGCAGAAAGACAGGTGTGAGGACGGGCTCTAGACCCAGGGTCTTTCTCCAAAGAAAACGACGCGCCCGCCGGCCCCCGCTCCCAGCAGACTCCCAGCGGGGCCCCTTGGTGTTGGCAATGACGTCAGCCCCATCACTGGTCCCCGTCTTGGGAGAATTCCACAGGAAATGCCCCGGATTTCAGCAAAATCTCAGGGGTGGTCGTGCACAAGCTCATACTCGCGGGGAACCACTAGCAATTTCTGAACATCAAATCCTATTGATTTAGAGAACCATTAATCCCAGGCAGATTCCGGCATTTCAGAGAGACGAAATTGCGGCTCTCTGTCACTCTCTGCCCTTCTGAAAACATCCCCAAGCCCGTCTAATGGCCCGTTTTATGCTTTAAATCCAACGGCTCCATTTTTCTTATCGCCAGATTATAATATTACTGAAAAAAAGATGTTACGGGAGTCAGCGGCCAGCAGGCTGGTTCCCGGGTATGGAGCCTTCCTCTCCTACTGCGCAGGGGAAGCCCCAGCACACCCCGAAAACCTGGCCCGGGAGGTGCTGCCGGTCCGAAGAACGGGGGTCTCTGAGCCTCAACATGGGTGTGGGAGTCCCAGGGCTCAGACAGGGACTCGTCCTCCTTGGGGTCACTCTCCTTGTGCCTTGAGCCCTCTCCTCCCTGCAGAGTCACCAGATGAGCCCAGACTGTCCATCCCGACCATCTGTGGGTCCGTCCTGCCGGGCTAGCGCTAGAGAGAGACCGTTTCCCACCACCCCCCCACCCCCGCACGGAACCAGGAGAGCTAGATCTCGCCCCTGATGCCCAGGGCCAGTTCAGGCTCAGGCAGTGGGTCACTGTGGAGAGCTGAGGGCAGGCCAGGCCCCGGAGGCTCTGCGCTACCCTGAGGGCTGAGGCGGGAGCCTTCTGCCTGGGCAAAGAGCACCCCTGGGTACCTGTAATTACTGAATTCCCATCAGGCCCGGAATGGGCATCTGCTAAAGCCAGTTTACCGCCCTGCTGCCCGCCCGTGTCATACAGGGTGATCCAGTCGGGTGCTCGTTAAGGAAATGACTCTGTGGGCTGCGTCCAGCCCCATCTGTCCTGCTGGCCTCTGAGACCCGCTGCGTGTGGACACCCACTGTGGGACCCAGCCTGGGGCACGCAGCTGGCCTGCCACCTGGGCAGCTGGGGCGTGAGGTCACCCTGCCACCGTCCAGGCTGGCACGGGGATCAGGCCGCGGGTGCAGAGGTCAGTGTTGAGACTCATGGGGGGGGGGGTCAGTTCTGACCCATGGCCTGCATCGCTGGGGTTCTCACGCCCCGAACACCGTCTACCCTCCTGCCTCTGAGACAGCCCCTCTCCGCCCTCTGCCACACGAGTCTCCCCCAGGGCCCCTCAGCAGGTGACACTCCGCCGGGCAGGTGTCTTGCCAGCGACTTGCTGTCACCGCTGTGGCCTCAGCTCTGTGCTCCTGCCAAGGTGCGCCTGAGGCTGGGGTGTCTGGAAGCTTCTGGAAGCTTCAGGCCTCTCTCTCATCACGACCTTCCTGCCCCGCCGTTCCGGGGCCCGGGGGCCGGGCTTCCTGCCGGGGGTGTGGGGCCCCATCCCCCACGGTCACGGGCTTTGGGGTCCCCCCCATGCTCGCTCCTGCTTCCGCCACCCCCCCATCCCTGACCAGGGTGAAGGCGCCAGTGGGGGTCTTGTCTTTGTGCCTGAGAGAGGGGCGGGGACTGCGTGGAGGCGTGGGGGTCCCCCCTGGTGCCAACCCAGGTTGTCCAGAGGTGTCCACATATCCGCGCCAGGCTGAGTGGCTTCCCTGGCTCCCGCCCCCTCCAGACCCAGCGCCTGTGTCGGGTCAGGCCCTGGGGTGCCCCCTGGCTTGGGCTCAGGGTCCGTCGCTGCCGCCTGCAGCCTCACGGGTGTTGTTGGGAGCCGAGTGCAGATTCCTCACAGCGGGAGAGATGGGGGACGTGGAGACCCTCGAATCTCCCGGTGTGCACGGAGAGCGGGTAACCAGCCTCGCCACCCCCACCCCTGCCCCGTCCTGTCCCGTGATGGGGACACGGGCTCCCAGCATCATGCGGTGTCCCTCCCCGCTGGCCTGCACCCATTTCTGATTCAACACACAGGCGGGCCCGTGGGATGTTCCATGCCAGGGGCCTGTGGAAGCCCACAGAGGCGCCAGTCTTCTCGGACCCTGGCTGACGGATGGTCTGAGGGGCTGGCGGGAGGCAGCGTGTCTCTGAAACACCCGACTTGCTCCAAGAGCGAGCGTGTGTCTCCTTCCCCGTCTTTCCGAGCACGGGGCTCGAGCAGCGAGTGAGCTTGCCGGGCCCGGGTGGTGCCGGCAGCTGGCGTGACGCCGGCTCCTAGTAACACCTCTTGCCGCCGCTCCTATAAATACCCAGGCCTTGCCGCTCTCAGCCTGGCATGCGGTGGCAGCCCTTGCCCACCCCCGGCTAATTTAAAGGGAAAGCTTAAAGCGTCCCTCGGGCCGGCCCGGGGGCGTCGGTGGCTGAGTGGCTGAGCCTGGCTCCCGGGCGCGTTCGTTTTCTGGGTCAGGAGCAGTGGCTGCCGGGGGGTTCTCCGGGGCCCCAGTGGCGTCATCTCTGCGTCTCAGTCCCCGGATTGGTGGCCCGGGGACCACAGTGCTCACCGCGGTGCTGGCACTCATGCACACTTGCCTGGGGAAACTTGCTTGGGGTGGGGGGGGGGAGACCAGAGATTCCCAGGCGTGAAGTGATGGGGGCAGGCGTGTCCCTTGTGGGGGTGGCCACGGGTGCGGGAGAATGGTGCAGCATTAGCGACTGCGTGTGGCCCCCAGGGGCCTCACGCGCACGTGTGGGTGGGAGGCGCTGGCCGCGGGTCTCCCAGAACCAGGTGGCCCTGACCCTGGGCAGTTGGATCCACTGTCCCGACTGCCACAGACCCACTGGTGCTGGCCACTGCCCACTGTCCACCCAGTTCCCTCTCTTTCCCCCGCGGCTCCTGGGGGGGTCGCGTCTCTCCAGCCCCACCCTCTGCCCTCAGCTTCCGTCATCCTGGTCATCCTGGTCCTCTCCGAGACTCCTGCTCTGCCTGAGGCCTGGTCTCTGCTCCACTCTGCTGCTGAAGATTGTTCCAGAACAGTCCGCTTGCCACAGGCCCTCTGCCCCCTTGGCGGGAACCTTCTCTTCATGCTTGTCTGGGAGCCGCCGGCCGTGCCCACGGCGCCCTCAGTCCATCCGGTCCTGCCATGGGTCAGCCCGTAACGGAGCCTCCAGCCTCGTCCCTGTCCCTGCTGGTCACTGCTGCACGTCTCCTGCCTTGCTTTGCCCCTGCGTCACCCCCGCCGGCACCGGGCCTCAGAGAGCTCGATCGCTTGGTGACTCAGCCCTAGGTCAGTGGCCAACGGGCTCAGCAGCGTGTGTGGCCTGCGTCCCTCTGCTCTGTCTGTGGGGCCCTGGCTCCTGTGTGCCATCGCGGGCGGGTGCCCCGTGCCGCTCCCCGTGAGACTTCTGCCCGTTTCCTGTTCGGCCGTGCAGGGTGGTGACAGCCAGGACTGCTACATTAACGGCAGAATAGCCCCGCCCTTGGCGCTAATTCGGCCGTGGTGTGTCCAGAGTTAGAGCTGACCCTGGCCCTTGTGGCCACGGTCCTGAGCCCACCGAGACGGCCACTCTTCCCTCCGCTTGACTTAAGCACTGGCCCCGGTGTCCTTCAGAGCTGGGCCCACGCTGGCGCCGCTGTCCAGGGCTACTGCAAGCCCAGTGGAGGGTCGGCCATGCAGAGGGCCAGCGGCAGCCTTGGAAAATGGGGCCGCCGAGTC